CTCCTTAGCCTGCGCTTAGGATGAGATGCAGAGAACGACTTGTGGTGACACATCACCTAATGCAGGTATGTCCAACCTAAGCGACTCTTGGGCACAGCAAGGCCCCCTTTTTAAGGCGGGCTACTTCCCCTGCCTGTATTCCAGACTTGCCAGGTCCCACCCCGCAGCAAGCGGTCACTACTTGTCCCTTGCAAAGTTCGAACACCAATGTTCTTTTTTTTTAAGTTGTATTTATTTATGCATACAAGAGCTGGGATGCAGGCCAGAGATGCAGGGGGTGAGAGCATTCCCCAGAGACAGAGTGGGGAGCAGAACAGGCGGGTGTACTGGAATGCGCTGCCGAGGGGAGCAGCAGGCGGCCAGGAGGGGTCTGCCCACCCCAGGAGGGTCACTCCTTGGCGTCCCCTGCCTGGTTCCTGAATTTCCCCAGGTTTGTAAATAGAAAAATATTCTCAACTCAAGCAGCCTTACTTTACCTGATGTGTCTTGATTTCAGAAATAATTCCTCCTTGAGAAGAATATGACAGGCAAAGTAATTCTTATCCAAGAGTGAATAATGCCCTGACATCAGCAAGTAACTTCAACAAGTCACTCTCAAGAGCAGAATTTATGCCACCCATGTTTCACAGAAATACTAGTGATATTTATTTCAAATTACTTTTGAAGCCGGCTCCCTGGTGACCTAGTGGCTAGGATTCGGCGCTTTCAAGTTACTGTTGAAATAAGATTTTGCTATTGAGTTGACTCACACAGTCATCTCAGGGTTCCCAAAAGCCTACCTGTACCCAGTCCCAGGGACATCACCCATTGTCATAAGCACCACCCATTATATTCCATGAGAATGGCACCCTCTGGCACTGCAGACTTGAGCATGTCGATCCAGTGTTTCCCGCCAGGGTCCTCTGAAGGAGGGATGCACTGATGTCACAGCATGAACAGGGCGACCTCGTTAAACGAAAATGCTCACCACTCCCATGGTGACTCGGCCCCTTCTTCAGCTTCCCCCAAGGCTGGGGTGAGCCTTTGACTTCCTGGCATGTCCCGGTGGGGCTTCCCTAAAGTCACAGGATCCTTCCTCTCCTGTCTGCATCCCGACGGCAGTGACGGCGAGAGAGCACAAGTGACAGGGAGGCAGGGGCTGTTCTCAAAGTAGTGGTATTTTAACATAGTTTTCAATTGCAGTCCACTTTCTGAAATGAGGTTTCAAGGCTCCAGGTTGAACATGGTGGAAACTCCCATGGAGTGTGGTGCAGAGAGCAAGGTGAACTAGAAATGCTTCCATGGATGGCGAGTCGAGGACCATTTTAACTCAGCTAGTATAGAAAATGAGGCTGGATTCGTAAACTGTCCACTTGTCTCAGCCATCACCAGGCTGTTGCTTAGAACATCACCCTGCAAACTGTCCCTTTGAATTCTGCAAATAGTGTCGAGAACTATTTTCCAACTGTTATTTTATACATATTTGACTGGTTTAAGTTTTCATTATTTTAAATAAAATTTCTCAAATTTTCCTCAAAGTGTGGTTGCACGTACCATTTCCTGGAATATATGGAGCAAGTACCTGGCACGCCTGGCTGGCATTCATGTTCCCTGCCCCAAACTAAACCAGCTCATCGCTCAGGCTTTAGATGAACACTGGATTGAAGCCCCGCTTCAGTATTTCTTAGCTCTGTGATTCAAAGGAAACAACTGATGAGTTTTCTCATTTTAAGGGAAGAAGCCCACCTCCCCAAAGCAGGCCCCGGCACCCCGCAGGGCCTCATGATTTCATTTTTTTGATGCAGGCAGTCAACATGTGGGCATTCAACTGAAAATTCTTAGACTTCAATGTCCTTATGGATTTTTTGAATTGTATCTCACAATGAAAAAGAAGTGTGCTAATTTTATACTAATTTATGTATTGGTCCCGTAAGCCTGATGAGTGCCTAATTTTTTAAAAATAATTATTTATGCATATAAGAACTGGGGTACAGGTCAGAGGTGGTGGGAGGATTCATGAGACAGAGTGGGGAGCAGAACAGGCTGACTGATGAAGTACACTGCTGAGGGGAGCACTGGGTCACCTCCGGGGCAGGGATCGAACTTGCACTGACACGGCTGTGACTAACTTGCAGTGCTGCACTTTTAACTCGCTGTACAACCAGGGAGGGCCCTAATTACTAATTCTAATAGGACATGCTACTACTTTAAAACACAAATTGGTTCCTTGCCCTCCCTTGTGGCACAGTGGGCTAAAGCACAGCACTAAGAAGCTAAAGACACTTCCCCATGAGTTCAATTCCCACCTGCCCCGGAGGTGACCACAGGGCGCGGCAGACC